GAAAAAATCATCAGCAGTGAAAGCATTAAAATGAAAGGAATTTTATGTCCCCAAATTTTCTTCCCTCTGTCTTGTTCAGTGGAAGCACAATATATTATTATGGTATGTATATGAGGACTGCAGTGGTTTACACCTTACTGAGAAATACTTTATTCAGCCATAGCCTTGTATGGCTATGAGTCCCCTAGGCTCACACACACACACACACACACACACACACACACACACACACACACACAAGTCCATGCTGACAAGAAAACCTAGAGTCTCTCCAAAAGGTGTCCCATGGATTTAAAAGGCAGATACTTCTTTGTCAACAAAGGCAACCCATGGCTAAGAGTCCGGAGGGCAAATTACACTTGGCTCATTGGTAAGTCTTAATCACAGACCCTGTTTATTCTTAGTGACATTAATGTACAGTATCAGCAATTTTCCTTCTGAGACAGAATCCATTGATTTAATATTGTCTTTTTTTTTTTTTCAGTCGTGCAATCAGAAACTCATTCATATGAGGATAAAACACTTAATACCTATGGAAAAATGCCAAAGAAAGCGGCAGTCAGACTGATTGCTTTTTGGCAAAGGCTGAGCTCAAGATTTACCAAGGAAAGCCCATGTTAAGTATGATCTGAGAGGAAGAGCTCAAGCGCATTACTAAGCCTGGGAACTGGAATTTCAAGTTACCTTGTAAGCTATTTCAGACAAAATTATATATATGCAACCACAGGTTGAAATATCGCTATGTTGAGAAAATGGTAGTTTCTAAAACTGCTTTATTCTAATTTCTGAGGCAACAAGGAAATAAAAGAGACAACAGACAGCAAGTAATTTACCTTTTTGGGAACCAATCTTGAGCAAATGTCAGTTAAATCTTCCCCAGGATCATCTGGCCTGGATTCAGCTACCTAGGGCAGAACAAAAGAGAAAGTGAAAGGTCCTCCAGATCAGGTGTTTCCCAGGATGCAGTTTAAAGGCAGCTCCCTTATCCTGTCTGCTCTTTAGTCCTCAGTCTTGGATCAAACTTCCTGGCACTAGATTTAAAAGCATCTTCAGAATAGAGGGGTGTTCACATTTATCTCGTTCTTCACTTCCTTATTTCTGTTCATTTCCTGTGGTCTTTGTGCTTGTGTCTGTCCCCCCAAATTGATTGTAATTAGATTCGAAGGCAAGGGCTGTGTCTTTGTATCTTTTAACATATCTTTATATCTTTTCTTCAACCCTTATTGTCTGACGGTGTTTTGCTTATATATAATACATTTTTGTTTGTTAAATAAAATGAAATATAATTGGAGGAAAATACAAATTATCCTATGTTTCAATTGCTATGGAGAAAATGAAAAGAGATGTTAGATTTGTGAAGTGATTGACTTCTTATTTTTAATAGAATGAGTAGTATATTTATATTTCAAGTGCAAAAAAAAGTTGCTTTAAAGGATTTTGATATGTTTTTGTCTCTAAGAGATGCAACAGCTTTATTGTAATATATATATTGTAATATGTAAAGTAACATAGATACATCAAAGTGAATTTAGAAAGGTGCAATGGAAGGAGTTATTTTATGTAAAGAGCCTAGCCCTAATAGCTATCAATACCTTAAAGTTTCCTTAGATTTATACGTATGTTGAATACAATTGTTCTGTATCTTCATAGCTACTGCTAATGGAGTTAGACTCATGAATGGGGGGAAAGTATCTGTGAATGATGCCATTATATGATATCATATTTTTCTTTCTTCATCTTTCTTTTATCCCAACATATGGTATAGTATTACACTCTTATGTACTTTTGTTTTCTTTTTAGATCCTTCCATGTTATCTCATGAAAAGATGCTTCTTTCCTTGTAAGGGTTGTATGGGCGTGTGCCAGTCTCACCCTTTGGATTCAGCAGACGCTTTGGACCCTGCTAGCTCCCTGTTAGATCCGCTAAGAGAGGACACTAGAGACTGAAATGCTCTCTTTTCCTCAGTAGCACCTTAGTAATGACCTTTTGCTTCATGGTGGGCAGTTCATTGCAGTTTCCAACTTCCGGCCCCCGCCTTCCCTTCTTTTTTTGCATTCCAAAGGCAGCCTCATTTTGTCCCCTCAGAAGCATCAGCACCAGCCAGGTAGTGACCCCTTCTTAGGGCTGACTAGCTCTACAAGGTCTCTCCAGCAAATCTCTCTGTTGGAGTAACATCATCATTTCCCTCTGTTTATCCAGCCTCAGGGCGTGAGCTGCTTCCTGGAGTTACAATCCCCTCTTCTTTTAGCTTTTTAAAGTTCTCCAATAAGTTGTTAGCCAATAGCTTGTATTGTTTTCTTTGCCGAAATGCTTCTGGTAGTTTCTGTTTTCCTGGTTGGACACTCTTGGATCTTGAAACCTGAAGGGGGTCCAACTCAACAGGGGTCCACCCCCTGGATCTTCTGGGTCAGAAGTCTTGAAGGAGTAGGGCAGCTTACACTGCAGTGCAGATGTGCTACACAGCCTGTTCTTGCTCTGGGTCCTAAAGGAACGCTAATGTGTTTTACTGGTGCTCTGTAGATGAATGTTTAAGTTGTTTCTTACTTTCACTACTACAGACAATGAAGTAAACAACCTCAAATAAATATTTTTCACATATAGGCAAGTAAGTATATCTCTAGGATAAAGTTTTAAAAGTGGAATTGCTGGGTCTCAAAAGGATTGCCAAATTACCCTTTATAGAGGTTGTACTAATTTAGTCTCTCACAGGCAATAAACAGAAATTTAGAGAAAAGGGAGACAGGTATGGCACCCTTGTCTCAATAAGAGGAACAAGGTGGAAGAGAGAAGCTAATCTAAGCACAGAATGAGATCGATCACTTGAGGAATTACTTTCTGGCCTAGTTTCAAAGGATTTCACTTTGAGTTCTTTGGAGAGAAGGGAGGCTAAAATAAAAATGCAAAAGCTCTCCTGTATACTTTGATATTTACTTAATGAAAGGTAACAAAAAAAGGGAGGGAGGTATTTTATCACAGATCACCAGCAGGTTGGGCTGTCTGAGGAGGCTTCATACTATACCCAGTGGAGACTCAATACCCAATATATGTGGCTGTGGTAGCCAGTAGCAAGAGTGATACCTACAGATACATGGCTATTGGAATAGCACAGCTATTGGCAGTGCTGCTGGGCATACTATATACTATAAACACATATGAGACACTTCCTAGAGACTCCCCAAACACTTGGGTGGAACTTTGTAGGGTACTGGGTCTGTTCCTGAAGTATTAGAGAGTGTAAGAGCTGATAAAACACAGGCTACAAACTCTCATTTGCTAAGGTTGTTCCTTTTTTTCATTTTTACATTTTCGTATCATAAACTGGGGTAGGCTTTACTTGAAAAATAACTAAGTAAAATATTCTTCTTTTTATAATACATTTCGGCAAATTCAGGTTGTGACTCAGCCATTTTTACCATCTGCTGTTTGGTTTTTCTATTCCCTGTTCAGCAGAACTCTACTGCAGTTATCATTGCCCTCGTTTAGCAGACAGGCTATATTCTACACGCTTGCTTTTACTGACTCACCATAGCATCACATGGTCACAAAGCTGTGTTCAACCAGAGCTGTGTCTTTCCTACCCTGTAAGATCTGGGCTGCCTTCCTGCAGAGGACTTTTGTTTTATGTTCCACTGTGTCTTGTTTGTGCCGTTCTTAATTTACACGATAGAGATGCTGTCATCACCAATTAACATTTTTCAAGGGCCCCCTGGATGCGTGGTGAATTGGGACTAATTTAATATTCTCTTTGTTTCAGATATCAGGTGGCTCCTTCAAATGAATTTTTAAGTATCTCAGTGATGATGAGGAACAGAGACATCAATTATGATTCAGGAAGACAAGCCTTTGCAGAACATGCTTAAAAGAGAGCAGCAAGAATTGGTATTAATATTTGAAAGTTGAAAAGAGGGTATAGTTTTCCTTAGTCAACAAATGACAAAAGTAAAAGGCAATGCTTTCATTGTTCCTGGAAAAAGCTTGGCAGCATTCCATTCAGACATCTGCCCTTTGATCGTCCCATTTTCTTTTTTACTTATTTTAGTTCTTCTAATTTTCAAGGCTGAGTCTGAATATTTCTTCCTGAGGCTTTTTTTTTTCTTTTTCTGATCATCTCTGCTCTTAGGGGATGACTCCCTTCTCCAATTCCTAAAGCCGTTATCATTTATAAAATTTGGAAATTTCATACATGATACATTATACCATTATTGAATAAGTATATGTTCATTCTCAAGTATATAAGAGAACTGTCTGGACAATTGATTTCTTTCCCATCTCAGGGTCAGCAGTGTTCTGTCAATGGTTGGATCTCAAGAAATAGTTATTAATAGTCTATTAAAATCAGATGGAATTTTATTTTAAAAAACGGTGAGAGGAGAGACAAGGCTAAATAAAGCTTTGCAAGTTGAGACTCGTAAGCATTCATGTTTTCTAATCTGAGTTATATGTACATACTTTTGGGGGTGTGGGAGGCAAGAACATTACTGGAAGTTAGCAGATAAGATTCCATAAATTTTTTTTTTGCCCTACCTAAGCTTATTTATTTTTGGCCTTTCGCTTTCGATGTTGACAGTAAGTGTATTAACACTGTTGTCGGTTGTAGGAACTTGTATTCAGAAGAGACCTGAACATTTCCACTTTAGAAAAACAAACATTCGGTTCCGTCACACGTTGTGGAATTAAGAACACACTTTGGCCCAGCGAGGCCGGCGACACACGAATTCCACCAGCGCAGAGACGCATTGTTGCGCGGGAGCCCGCGACACAAGCGGCCTGTGCGCTCTCCTCAGGACGAAGCTCCCGCGGGGCACCGCCCACTCCGGTTCCGGGAGCCTCATTGGTCGGCCTTCCGCCCGCCATCTCAATTAACCCTCGGGATTTGGCCCGGGAGGCAGGCGTCCCCCTTTCGGGCATTGATTGGTCGAATCTTAATGACGGTGAGCTGTTTCCTGAATATCCATTGGTTCTTAGGCTTAAGTGTGGGCGGAGAAAGACAGCGACGGAGCTCAAGGAAGGGAGCGCGGAATGCGCCGGCGCGTAGTCCAGGACGCCAGGCCGAGGGTTTTGCTAGGGAACTGACTGTTGTTGCCCCGCCCCCTCGGGGCTTTTTGTCTCGTTAACTGTCGCAGTGGCGGGGGCTCCAGCGCCGGGCGACATGCCGGTGCGCTTCAAGGTGAGGCCGGGGTCCCCGGGCCCAAGGCTGATGGGGGGAGCTGTGGCGGGGCGGGAGCGGGGCGCGCGGGCCTCGCCGGCTTTCTGCGCCGCACCCCTCGGCCTCGCAGAGCCTGTCAGCCCCTGATCCTGCCTGCCACGGTCCTGGAGGATGCTCATTTCTTACGTTGCGCCCTCTCTGCTCACACACACTTCCGAGTTACCGTCTCTGATGGTGTTGAGATAGGTTTATTTGGGGAGGCTCAGAGGAGTGGAGATGGAGGGAGAGCACTTTATAATGGGAACTAAGGCGGCTTCAGATTGGGACATCTGTGGCCCATCTCACAGATTAGCATTTAACACTCCTCCCCCCTTAAAACTCTTAAGTGCATATGACTTTTAAAGGCTTGAGAAATGGGGCCTTAACATGGTAAAGACAAGGTATAAGAAATACACATTATTCATAGTCATATTTGTTTAGGGTCCGTTAGAAGTTCAGGTAGCTGGTAGCTGACAGGGTCAGGCACTCTTCAACATAAAGATTGACCACAGCTTTCCACAAGCCCTATCTTAGCCTTTTATCTTAAGGGGTTGTATCCGGAATGGGAAGGGAATTTGTCTTTGTTCACTTGACTTTACAAAATTTCTAAAGGTACTAGGCATAATACATAATGTGTACTCGGTGAGAGTAATTAGGATAATTATAGTGATGAGGATTTACATTGTTACCGTTATTAGACAAGAGTTTAGGCGTTGGAATCAGACAACCAGCAGAAGGGTAGATGTTCTGAGCCTCAGATTCCTGCTAGCATTTGCCTCCAGTGACTGTGAGGATTAAAGGATATAAATGTGTGAACTGCTTAGCACAGGGCTGGGCAAATATTAGCTATCATTAAGGAGCTCTTCTTTGTTTAATGGTCACTCTTAAGTCTTGCAACCCTTTTTAGAGGTTCAGAAATTACTGATACCTAGTTTAAAACAACGTTCATTAATTGCATTGTACTAAATTTGTATTTTTATTACAGGGGCTGAGTGAATACCAGAGGAACTTTCTGTGGAAAAAGTCATATTTGTCAGAGTCCTGTAATTCCTCAGTGGGGCGAAGGTACCCATGGGCTGGACTTAGATCAGATCAGTTAGGTAAGTTGGACAAACTAATAATCATTATAACTTGAATAAACCTTGGGGTAAATTTGCAAAATAATTAAAAAATTGTGAAGCATTGTTTATTTGGCCTGGTCGACTTACTCATTCACTTATTTAACAAATATTTATTGAGGGTTTACTATAGGCCAGGACTTTTCCCAGCTTCTTAGAGATATAGCCTTGAACCAGACAAAGACCCTTAATTATGGGGAAGAGCAGTAAAGAAGTTACTCAACAAATAAGCTAGGAGATTTTAGGTTGTTATATAAAATTGTAGCATGATAGATAGCTTGGTGGAGGGATGGATTGGAAGAAATATGCTTTAGATTTGGTATTTGAGCTGGGACATGAAAGCTAAGAGTAGCTAAGCCTGGGGAGGAGTACTCCCAAGGTATTGAAGACTCCGCTTATTAAGTAAGTTGCCCAAGGTTCACAGCTAGTAAACGACAGAACCATGATTTGAAATCAAGTTTGTATTGTTCAAAACCCATGAGTGCAGAGGCCACATTCTTGTCATCATACATACTTCCTTCCCGTATCCCAGGGAATTCAGAGCCCTGGACCAAGGTTCCCTAGAGCATGGTAGAGAGGAAGAAAGACAGACTGACAGTATTCTACCTATTGCTTAATTCTTCTTCACTAGAGAATAAGATCTCTGAGAGCAGGGCTCTGTTTGTTAATCTTCATCACCTTGTTCCCACCCATTACCTTATACAGGGTCTTGACACACTTTAGTGCTTATTAAAACTAATATCTGAATGAATGAATAAACCTGAGTTTGAATCCACATTATTGGTTTGACCTTGGACAATTGGGGTCTTTCACCAAGTGGGATTTAGGAAGCCCATTGCACAGGATTGCAAGGAGAGAGTAAATGAGATGTTGCCTGTTAAGGGCTAGGTTCATACATATACAGATGAATGTTTGGCGCTTCATATGTGACATTTGTGAGAGTGCCTGATGTTTGGTATATAAGTTCCTCAAATGTTAGGTGTTTGAAGCCAGGAAAATAAAAGGCTTATGAGCGGGGCCCCAAACCTGGGAAATTAGTAAAACGAGAGTGTTTGGAGAACAAAGGGAAGGGTGGGCTAAAGGAGTGGCTCTTTTAGGGCTCCTCTGAAGCATCAGGATCCTTTGCCCAAAGCCTGACTTCAAAGACTGGGCGTCCCTGCTTCTTGGGCATGGTGGTGCTCATAATCCTCTTCAAATGACCAGAAGTTCTGCAAATTTGAGGCTCCATTAGATTAAGAATCCAAAGTAAATCTCAAAGTGTAGATACCCCAATGAAGGCCTAGAGCGGGATATTATGATACTGGGAAATTGGGTAACCAGCTAGTTGCCTCCATGACATTTTAGTTTAGATCAACTGTATTTGAGGGTAGAGGGGAGAGGAAATGAGACCATGGGAGCAAAGCCACTGGAGAATGGTACATTACAAAAGTAGGAATGGTCTAAGGGAGGCATGTTAATGGACAATTTAGGTGAGGGAGAGAGCCAGAGTGAGAACTCTAGGATGTTCAGAAGGGGAGGTGGGAGGCTAGCCAGGTACAACAGCATTGTTACCTAGCAATGGCTGGATGTTCTGTTAATATACTGTATTTTTTTTCCCATAGTGTATTTTTGTTGGTGCTGGGAGAGAAGGGCAGGTCACTTGAAAATCTTCCCCATTCATTTTGCTCTTCTGCCAGAAGCCCCTCTCTGTGTTAAAACAGAGAGAGGTCTAGGGCAGTGGTCTTCAAATTTTTTAGCTTTCATACCCCCTAAAAGAATTTAGAAAGTCTTAGTATCCCTTCACATTTTTAAGTTGATATTTAGTATTTTTGTTTTTTTTAAAGCATATGTATAAAAACATAAGTATAAAAAATCTAAAGATGTGTATTTCTAGTATATGCATATTGTATATGTATTTTACATATATTTTGTTAAAATTTTGGAGCTGCCAATTTAGCTCATTCAATTTATGGTAAATGTTCATTGTAGTTGTAATTGGTAAAGTTTGTCCTCCTCGGCAAATTAATCAAAATAATTTTTTGTGAGAAAAATGGTCTAACTTTTTCAGTCCAAATAAATGTGTTAACATGCATGCTTGCATTTCAAATGATGATACTCTTAGACCTGAATTTTAAATCTAAGATGGGTAGATGGAAAAGGTGTGGAGCTGGATGAAATAAGGTTTTATTCTTTTGTTATTTTTAATCTTTGCCTTCTTTGCTGTCAGATATTCTCCCTCAGGAGTTATGCTTTCTTGAATTGGCTCTTTGTTTTTCCTTCCCACTTATGAAGTTTTGTCCCCCAATTCCATGGGGCTGGTTGAGGGAGATGTCTTTTGTGAACTGGGAAAGTGATTATGAAGGGGGTGGTGGGAAATAAAACTACAGATGGCAGATGCATCTTGTAGGCAGATCAGTGTCAGGAAATAGCACATATGGAAGTTAAGATCTGGAAAATGATTCCTTTAAGCTGCCCATTTCTGTGTACCTCCCTTCCCCCCACAATGTCTTTATGTGCCTCCAGACATATATGCACCCAGTTTGAAGACCACGGATCTAGGGAAGCCTTGTAAGGGTAGGGACGCTGGGTTCAGTGGCCAAAACATCCATGATAGAAGCCAGAGAACTCTGGGTTTTACCTCATGCCACATTTTCTGTCCGTCTTCCCTCTCCTCTTCCCTTCTAGTCTTAATCTTTCTTCCCCACTCTGCACAGTATTCTTTCTATTTAAAGAATGGCCCCAAACTGGGTCAGTATCTTAGTGGCTGCCATTCCACAGAGCTCCTCTTACCTGGGTAGAAGGTTAAGTTTTTTGGACATTTGCTTGCCAGGCAGAAATATAGAGAAATAGTATCTTAGCTCTTGTTAAAAGAGTTCATTCTTTTTAATTCTCAGGAAATCAAACCAAATGTAGAACCAAGATCCAGCGTAATAACATCTCATCCCTTCTCATCTTGGTCTGCTCTGCATAAGAGAAGCTTTGTGACAAGTTCCAAATTTTGACAGTACCAGGGCCCATTGTTTTGTTAAGTAGCACAGGAAAGTAATTAGAAACGGAGGCAGCATGTACTGCCTGGCTTGCCAGGCCCATCACGTTGTGGTCCTAGTGACTTGTGTGAGGATAACTTGAACATTGTGACCCCAATTAAAAATTATTTTATGGTCAAACTTTTAATATTTCTTTAAAGCAAAATTAAAAATTTTATGTTGAAAAACTGTAGTTATTTTATTATCCTGTAATTTGAAGGATATTGTGTGTGTATCTCAACTGAATTTTAAATTCCATTTCTCCTCTCATAGGTATTATTGGAAGTTGTCTTTGTAACTTTATGCTTTGGTAGCTGCTACTTTTGTATACTATATTTTGTAGGAATCACAAAAGAGCCAAGTTTTATTTCAAAAAGAAGAGTCCCTTACCATGATCCACAGATTTCAAAATATCTTGAGTGGAACGGAGCTATCTCAGAGAATGATGTGGTTGTATCACCGGAACCTGAAGCCCCAGAATCAACAGAAGCACCAGAATCACAAGAGGCAGAACAAACAGATGTTAACCAAGAAAGAGTCCTTGCACTAGAAGCCTCCAGGGTGCCCAAGAGAACCAGATCTCACTCTGCAGACTCCAGAGCTGAAGGAGCTTCAGATATTGCGGAAAATAATAAGGATGTAATAGCAAACAATATACCAGTTAATGAAAATGTGGAACTGGAACATTCTGCCAAGCTTCTCTCAGGAAACGTAGATAATAAGGTAAGTATGTTCATTGTATTTTGTTATGAAAGCGTAGAATTCTTTGCAGATTTTATCATTTCAGTAATATTTCATTTTGTGCCTAAAATTTTTCCATTGTTTTCTGTTCTCACGTCTATAGAATAGTTAATAAGAGGTTATTGACTTTAGTTATCATGAATTAGTTGTATTCTTAATAGTCACTTTGTACTGTTATACTAAGGTATCCCTTCATTGGGTGGACAGCCTGCTTCTGGATTTTATTCATCATATATCAGCACCTGAGTCCTAAGGGAGAGATCAAGTTGAGACAGAGAAGGGGAGTAGGCCATTACCTCTGGCAGGGATGGTGAGCTGACTTCTTCCTAGGCTTTTTTCAATTTGTGATTGTATACTAGCAACAAAAAAACAGAATCTCAATTGATGAAATGCAAAAGGAAGGAGGGTTTTGGCTGGATCTCAGAGATCTTGCAGTTCTGCTCTCTTATGTCATAGCTGGCTTGCAGAAGGTTCCTGTGAGCACATAAGCAGAGGCTGCAGGGATCTGTGCAGATATCTTACTGCCTCCCACATTTTTCTCCATCCCACTGTGCTTCTTCCCCATTTCATATTCGCCACTGACTGGAACCACGGAGAGGCACTTAGAAGTGTTGGAGAAGAACCTGTGGCTTGTTGCGAAAGCTGGGGGCATAGGGGAAATCAAGGAAGGTGATGTATAAGTCTGGTGGGCAGGGGAGGGGGCTTTCTTAGAAACAAAGTGTGAATGAGCCAAGGTGCTGTTGACTTTTAGTAATAGATTTAATTATGAATAATTGGTAGGAAGGAACTGAGATGTTGTTAATCTTTTTCTGGGGTGCATAATAACTCCTTGACGGTATTAAGAAAGGAATTTTAAATAGTTTGACAATTTAAAAGGGAGATTAACAATTTAAAAAAGTTGGTTATACAACAACGTGTATGTAGTTATAGGTACACTTAAAAATTTGTTAAGAAGGTGAATTTCATGTTATGTATTTTTACCACAGTAAAAAAAAGTTTGAATAGAAATTTTTAATGACTTTGAGTGGGATTTTTTTCCCTAACAGTTGGATAGACTTCTGCAGAAGAAAGCTGGATTGACTGTTGTTCCTTCACATAATGTCTTGAGAAATTCTGAATACCAAAGGCAGTTTGTTTGGAAAACCCCTAAAGAAACTGCTCCAGTTTTTGCAGCCAATCAGGTAGTTTAATGGATGTAATACATTTTTGAATATCGTTATCTAAACTAGTCATGCAGATATACATAGAACTAATTGCTGAAAGAAATTAGATACTCAAGCAGGCCTGGAGGTAGGTTCTAGAAAGTTAGAATTAGAGTCTTGCTAAAGTCATCCTATTACTTGTGATTTATAGTAGTAATATTATACTGTCCTAGGCTACTGATGATCATTGTTGCCAGATCCATCACATATACTAAATATGAGACAGGGTAAAGAAAACGGGGGGACAGGTAAGTTTTTGCATACTGTGAGTTTTTTATGTATTAAAAAATTATTAAATTGGTTTCTCCTAAAATGTGTTTAGTTGACTAATGTATTACGTGTTTTCTGTTTTCTAACTGCTTTGGATATTTTTTTTAATATCTACAAAATACATTGAAAGGAACATAAGATATATACTTTTGTCCTTGTATCAAATGAGCAGTAATAGGAACTGACATATATTTAACTATATATTTAACTATGTAATATTCGAAAGCTATAATGATAACTAAATCTGATATTAGATTTTATTGTACCCTTGCACAATTTCAGTATTGGACTACCATGACTAAAAAATCCTCTGTTTTACAACTATCCTCCTCTAGACAGTTCTTAGGCTCTTAACTCTCATTTATGTTCTTAAACATACTCCTTGGCCTACGTAAGAAATACTTCCATTTAAAATATCCCCAGAGGCCATGACAGCTTAGATTTTTGTTTCTCCTGATCTTTGCGTTTTTCTTTATAAGCATACACACACATACATATGCACATGACACGTATACACCTTCACACACCCTCACATTCATTTCTCCTGTATCTCAACATTCACTATATTACCCCTAAGGACTAGGAGAATAATTAGATTCAGCAAGGCAAGATCATCAGTCATCTTATACTCAGATGGCAATACCAGTGATTCTAAAAATTGTGGAAGCTTTGGGCTTACTCGTTATTCAGCTTTTTTAAAAACTGAAATTTATGTAACATTTTAGGAACATATAAAATAACTAAGTAGTGATACATATCCTTTATGAACCTATTAAATAGAATCAGTACTTCTTTTGCTGGCTTACAAGTATTCTTGGATAGTAAGTGTACCTACGATATTCTTATGACCTAAAAATTGGGAATTCTTCAGTTTTCATAGAGTATTTCAACTTTAAGATAGAGCTGATTCAAATTAAAGCCCCTTTGACAACTTTTACATATTTCGGTGAAAGTATTGTATAGAAAGGTTCTTTTTATAGGATCAGAAGTATGATATAAAATAAATCACTAGCAATACCTTCACTGGTAGTCTTATTGCTTTCGTTAGTGAGGATTTCAAAGAAATTTTTGGGGGAAACAAATGCTTTTTGTTGGTTCAAAGCATATCAGTTTCAGGGTCTGTAGATTGAAGGGTTCTGTGGCAGAAACTTTGAATCCTTACTGTTGGGGAACCTGTAAAGGAGCTGTTCAGTTTATTTTACCAGATACCCATTTTCTGAAAGAATGTCTTAATATGTAAAAGAATCGAAGCAATTTTTGGTAGAAAAGTACTCGAATTATACCTTTTGGATTTTATCTGTATGAAGATGTACTCTTCATAGTTATAAAGCAATAATGTACCTTATTTGAGCACCATCTTTTTTCATTTGCTTTCCTTGTAATCAGTAGTAATGTACCATAAAATGGAAATAATATTTTGAAATATTAAGGATAAAAGGAAACACTTAAAAATAGAATAATAATTATCTGAATTTTTCCTTACTTTAATCTAAAAATAAGCAAGCAGAGAAACAAAAACTGAACACATGAACATACCAGATATTCAAAATGTTATTTTCTGTTGTTGCATGAAGAAAAAAATTCTTGTCAAGGAGGGGAAAAAACCTGTAGAGCTGACAACAGAGTTGCCTTGTAAAGCTAATGTTTGTGTTCATATTATTAAAATGTGCCTATTCTACTAATCTCATTACCAAACTGGGAGAGGGGTAGGGAACTTTGGAAAGAAAAGATAATGGTTCATTATTTCTTTTGGCTTAAGCATTATTTGACTACAATAACTATTATTCAGAACATAATAGTAATGAGTTTAGAAAGTTGACCTTTGGATTTTTTCTAGCTTTATTGAAGTATAATTGACAAGTAAAAATTATATATTTACATGTACAGTGTGATGTTTTGATATATGTATACATTATGAATGATTACCACAATCAAGCTAATTAACATATCTCACCTCACATAGTTCCTTTCTTTTCTTTTCTTTTTTTTTATGGTGAGAACACTTAAGATTTACCCTTACTTAGTGAATTTCAAGTATACAGTACAGTATTAACTATAGTCACCATGCTGTACTTTGGATCTCCAGAATTTATTTGCCTGCATAACTGAAACTGTACCCTTTGACCATCTATCTCTCCATTACCCCGACCCATTAGCCCCTGGCAACCACCATTCTATTCAGCTTCTATGAGGTCGACTTTTTTAGATTCCACATAAAGTGAAATCATGCAGTATTTATCTTTCTGTGCCTGGCTTATTTCACTTAGCAAGTGTTCTCCAGGTTCATCCATCCATGTTGTTGCAAATGACAGGGTTTTCTTCTTTTTTAATAATGCTGAATATTATTCTAGTGTGTGTGTGTGTGTGTGTGTGTGTGTGTGTGTACTCGCACCACATTTTCTTTATCTATTCATCCATAGATGGACACTTAGATTCATTCCATATCTTGGCTACTGTGAATAATGCTGCAGTGAACATGGGAGTGCAGCTATCATTTCGAGATACAGATTTCATTTCCTTTGGAAATATACCCAGAAATGGGATTTCTGAATCATATGGTTCTGTTTTTAATTTTTTGAGGAACCTCTGTGCTTTTTCCATAATGGTTCTAACAATTTACATTTCCACCAACCGTATACAGGGGTTCCCTTTTTTCCATAGCCTTGCCAACACTTGTTATCTTTTCTAATTTTGATAATAGCCATTCCAACAGATGTGAGGTGATTATCTTGTTGTGTTTTTGATTTACATTTTTCTGATGATTAATGATGTTGATTATCTGTTTGTGTATTTGCTGGCCATTTTATGTCTTCTTTGGAAAAATGTTTATTCAATTCCTCTGCCTATTTTTAATTGGATTGTTGTTTTTCTCTTGTATGAGTTCCTTATTATTTTGAATGTAAATTCCTTATTGAATATATGGTTTGCAGATATTTTCTCCCATTTCAGAGGTTGCCTTTTTATTTTGTTAATGGTTTCCTTTGCTATACAGAAGCTTTTTAGTTTGATTTTGTCCCATTTATTTATATTTGCTTTTGTTGCCTTTGTTTTTGGTGTCACATCCAAAAAATCGTTGCCAACACCGGTGTCAAAGAGTTTATCCTCCTGTGTTTTCTTCTAGGAGTCTTATGATTTCAGGTATTAGACATTCAGAGTTTTAATTCATTTTGAGATGATTTTTGTATATGGTGTAAGACTGTGGCTCAGTTTCATTCTTTTGCATGTGGCTGTTCAGTTTTCCAAACACCATTTATTAAAGAGATTGTCCTCTCCACATTGTATATTCTTGGCTCCTTTGTCATAAATTAATTGGCCATACGTGCATAGGTTTATATCTGGACTCTCTATTCTGTTCTTTTGATCTGTGTGTCTGTTTTTATGCCTCTGCTCATTTTTAAATTGTGTTGTTTTCTTGCTATTGAGTTCTTTACATATTTTGAACATTGACCCCTTATGAGATCTATGGTTTGCATATATTTTCTCCCATTGCATGGGTTGTCTTATCACTCTGTCGATTGTTTTCTTTACTCTACAGAAACTTTTTAGTTTGATGCAGTCCCATTTGTTATTTTTGCTTTTGTTGCCCTTTGGATGTTAATTGGTCATGTGAAGTAAAATTACAGTTATATATAATTTTGCCTTTTTATATCTTATTCAACTTTATATTTGAGATTTTTAAGTAATTGGAAAACTAAGTTCTGTGTTTAACCCACAAAAAACTAAACTACAGTAATTTTCGTTTGAAGGTTTTCCACAATAAAAGCAAATTTGTTCCACAATTCAAAGGTAACTCAATCATCCATGAAACTGAATATAAAAGAAATTTCAAGGGTTTATCTCCAGCGAAAGAACCAAAATTAAGAAATGGTTTGAAAGAGAACGGACATTTTGAAACAATATCTCCTGAAAAGAAGGTATTTGTTAATTCTTTAAACAAAACAAAATCCTCAATTTAGATTTTACTCATTTTCTTTCATTTACCACTGCTTGAGATTTTTGTTTTTTATTAGCGCATTAATTCATTTGTTCATTAAATGCCAAATATTCATTGAGCACCTAGTAGGAACTGGACACTGGTTAAGTACTTAGAATACAATGATAACCACACTAAGCCCTAAGCAGCTCTTGGGCTAGTGGGGAGATAAAGATATAAAAAACTAAATATAATACAGTGTGATGAATGCTTAGCAAATATAGTAGGTAAGTCTGCTCTAATATCAAATGATTGATATTACAGTAATGTGAGCTCCAGGGTAACAGTAGTGACAGAAACACTAAAGTATTTTAAATCAAATAATGGAAATCAAACATGAACACACATACGCACATGTATGTTAAACCAAAGTTTTAGCATGTCAAATCATAGTATAATTCACATGATTTACCTTAGGATATACAAACACCTGCTTCTGTGTGAAATTATAGCTATTTAAGTTACAATTTCAGGTTAAAATTATTGTAAATTATAAGTAAATATAAGTCCTATTTTTTAATCTCCTGGAATGTCATACCTGATATTTTATGGGTTCTAAAAATAGAAATTATGACTAAAAGTAAAATGTTATATATATTTTTGGACCTATGATGTTCTTAGAGAGAGAAAAGAGTTGTTATTTAGTAAATCAAAGTGGTAAGTTATTCATTGGGACCTTACATTAATTACTGTAACACAATTAAATGCAAATTTAGAATATCAAGGGCAAATGTAAGATCAATGTTCAGTAGGTAGTAACATGAAGTTTATTTAGATGTTTATTTGTTAATTAAAAAATGTTTTCCTAGCAAGGATCTAAAATTTTTGTCGTTAGAAAACGAACCTATATCTTGAGCTATACTTCAAAAAGCTAACTGGATATACTAGTTTCAAAACTCGCTTGTTGATTTCTTGTGATTTCCATGTTATCTTTAATTGTTAAAGCTTACTTCTACAAACAGAATTGTAATACAGTGTCCAAGTATACTTTATAACAGTTATGCTTTCACTTTAATGTATAAAATATTTTAAGCATAAAAAGATTAAATTATTTTCATTTTAGTGTAATAAGATAGATGATCCTTTAAAATTAGAAGCAGAGATGGAATCAAAAGACTTAAACCAGCCTAAAAAGAAGCTCACTTCATGGAGACATCAAAGGCTTGGGTATGTATTTTATAAGATAAAAAGCATAGTATTTAGATGATTGACATGTTGAAATAGTTTAATTTACTCTCATTTCATTTCCGTTAGGAAGGTGAATTCTGAATATAGAGCAAAGTTTCTGAGCCCAGCCCAGTATTTATATAAAGCTGGGGCTTGGACACATGTGAAGGAAAACATACCAAATCAGGTGAGTTCAGTAAGCCCCCATTTTCTTTGAGCCTATGTCAGTTTAATTTCACAATAAGTTTAATTTAGTAATAGAGACTACAATTTAAAGATGTATAATACAATAATAGCATTAAAAGTATCAGGAATTTAAAGTTGTATGTATTAGGATATAATTTATCAGTGTGTTTACTTTTTAAAAATACTAGAGATTATTTAAAATATTAGAGATGAATATTTATTATAGTCTTTAAAGTTAAAAATTTTTTTACAATCAATATTTGGATGTATTAATAAAGTCAGTTTTTAGAATTGTAGCATGATAGATTTGATTATTTTATAACATCCTGACATCCACCCTCACAACTGAAGATTAGTTAATTTTCATGGTTAGTTTGTCTGACAGTAGTATCCCCTGTCAATGTGTACTTTTACAGTCTGTAAGTACAAGGAAGGAGTGGCCTGTGCTGATGGAAGTTTGAGTTACAGTGTTGGGACACCCTGACTATATGGGGGAAATTCAGAGGATCCTAAAGAAAGGTTTGAGGGAAAGGGTAATCCTAGTGTTTAGTACTAGCTTCTTATAGTCAAAGGATAAACAGTGGAGCTTATTTGGCAATTGTATAATTAGCATCTTTTAAACTACATCTTTATGGTTTTCTGTCTTTTCTGTGTGGATTAGCTAAATTAAAGCAGTTTAGATTAGACATCAGTAAACATTCCCTCCCCTTAACATTGTAAAGAGAGGGATAACTTGGATGGAGAATGAATATTTTATTTAGCTCCATACTTAAAACCATGGCTAACAATTACATGTAATCAGCTTCTGGGCGAAGTTGTTGGCACTTTGGGCTGTTGCTCTTTGCACCAGCAGATCTCAGACCTATGTCCTGGTGACTCCTGTGCTCCTAAACTCAGGAGGTTACTTGATTTCTTCCTCCGTGGCTGCTCTTGGTCCTCTCTACTTTCCTACTTGAGCATGGCTCAGAGGCAATATATGCAGAGTAAGAGACAAAGCTCGAAGCTGTCCTAGATTGGGGCAAAATTTTGGGGCAAAATTCAAGTTATAAATGTGAACATTAAAAGTAGCCATGATGGAAGAAAGGAATTGAGTCAGCTAAACTTCTGAGCAGTTTATGACCATGCCAGACCTTGGCAAGGAGCTCTGTGTCTGAAGAGTCTGATGGGGAATGAGGAAAAGTGGAGGTAAAGAACAGGGTACAGATTGTGGCCATGGAGGGCTAGTGTGGCCAATAAATGGGTGTCAGCCACGAGCCTGTCCTGTTTAGGTGCTTCACTAGGTTCGTTCACTAGAAGCTCCTTGTTTTGGAAAAATTCTCTCTCAGTCTCTGAGACTTCTTTAAACTAAGGTGAGTTGATATTTAGATCCCATATCTAAACATTTGATGGACTGACAGGATTGTCATATCTGAAGTTATGATAAGGTGACAATCCTTATCCTCCTCTGATAGAAGAGGACATTTTTGTTGTTGTTAAGACCTGTCTTCAAGATTTTCTGTTATATCTTGGTGATATGACTTTTGGGCGTTTGTTTTATTAATGCTATTGGTGATTATAAATATTCAAAGCAGTGGTATGGTTTGCCATGACTTCAAAATAATTCAAAAAGTAAATTGAAGTTAGAAAAGAATAAGAACTTTTAGTAAAGAGGTCAGCGATCACTGATAATGATAACAGTTTTAGTTGACCTGGATCATAGACATTTAATATGGGCTATGTTTTACTTAAGTCTTAGATTTTTTTTTTCTGGAAGACATTTACTGCATGTTGCTACTTATGAAGTCTCTAAATATAAGGTATTCCCCCACTTTCCCATTCCTAACATTTTGTGAAGGATTATTATTCACACTCTTCAACTGAAGTTGGATATCAATGACTTTGTTATCAGAATTAACTCATTTTTCGAGTCATGTTAGAGTTTTCTCACGACTTTTCATCTTCATTTCATTCTATGTTGTTTGAGATACTGTACTTTGAAAATCTATAGTCTAGTTACTGGGTATTTTATCCTAAGTCCCAGGTACCTAGTTATATAACACTAGGGTGGTTGGTTTTATTTGTCCAGTGGTTGTATATTTCTTATCTCCATAATATAATCACTGGCATTATTGCTTTTTAAATGCTCACTTAAAGGATTGTTTTAAATATAATCAGCAATTACAATTGTTAGGTCCCATCCTCAGACTAATTACTGAATCTGTGTTAAATTTCTTTTTTTTCATAATTGTTAGATAATCTAATCAAACTATACTGGTTGAAGTAATTAAAATTTTTTTTCAGTTACAGTTGACATACAGTATTATATTAGTTTCAGCTGTACAACATAGTAATTAGACATTATGTACCTTATCTACTGATCATCCTGTTAGGTGTAGTACCTATCTGATGCCATACAGTTATTATATTACAATATTATAGACTATATTCCCTATGCTACTGTACTTTATATCCTGGTGACTATTTTTGTAATTGGCAATTTGTACTTCTTAATCCCTTTCACCTTTTTCACCCATCCCCACAACCTTCCTCCCATCTGGTGACCATCAGTTTTTTCTCTGGGTAGTTTTTTTCTAATGCGTCTTTCACAAATAGGACTTTATTTCAAGATAAAGTTCCACATTTAAGAAACGTTCTGTAATTTGACAGACATTGGAAGGACTACTAGGCATAAGATGACTCCTCATTTTAGGGGGTTGATTTTTGAGAAAAATGAGTTTTTCTATCTCCAACCCCCATTTTCTGAGTTTTTTCTATCCCCAACCCCCATTTTCTGCATATACATTTTAAATGATTTAATTTTCTTAATTTGGGAAAAGAAATTCATAAATGAAAACATTCTACTTGTAGTGCTTATTATATAATATAATCTGATGACATTACTTTACCTGGAAAGAGGTATGTGTGTTCTTTTGAGTTTAGGGTAGTTTATATCCTTTTTAATGGCTCTGGTTGTGGGCTGTAGGGATCGCTCTTAATGTTGAGTTCATACTGTCAATTTGTTTTACTCTTTCTAGTGGAACACCTTACTTTGGGAGATATAAACCTCCTAATTTTTCATCTTAGTGTAGGATTATAGAAATTTAAAATTATGTATTTGTAAAACACCATTAGAACTAAGATTATTAATAAAAATTGCTGATAAAGTAAATTTAAAATATTGTTTTGAACGTCATTATAAAACTGAGTAAACCAAAGTTTTACAGTATTTCTGTATCTCCTTTTCCTCCTGCAAAAGTTGATGTCAGTTAAAACTGGATCACTGGCATGTGGAGGGGTTATTTGTTTTTCTTGTCATTTATAAAACAGTAAGGTGCTTCCACATGGATAGAATGCAGTCTCCTTCACTGTTCCTTTCCACTCCACCCTACGTGCAGTACAGGACTGATAGACCTCCCTTTTGAACTTATATCTCATTTGTTTATTACGGTATAGACCATACCAATATTATGATAATAATTTATCATAGAGGAAGTCTGCCTCCTCTACCAAACTGTGAGCACATTGAATCAGGGACTTTCTTGCTTATCTTTGGCTACCAGCCTTCTAGCTCAGGCCTCCTAGCACTTAGTCCACCCTCAGAACAGTGTTTAAATGCTACATTCTTCCTCATCTCAAGGAATTCATAGGTTAATGGGGGAGAATGAAATTCCAGTAGGATAAATTAAGTACTAATGGATATATACAAGAAGGACTTTAAGAACACAAAGGAAGAAGCAATGCTAGGGCTTACAGATTTTGTCATTGTAGGTGGTGGAGTAGCTATGAAACATTTGAAACATAGGAGTATGTGTTAGAAATAAAACCTGGATTATAGCAGGGCACTTTAAACAAGGTTCCTGTGCATTCAGGATACTTTGGTTAGTAGTTCGAGTCAACTCATGTGTCTCAGTTCTACCTGTTAAATTAAAAAAGCACTATAGGAAATCCTTATCTAATATTGTTGGTAGGTTCTGTGACTTTAAGCAAAAACTCATATAATGAAACCAGTTTTACCATAGGCTAATTGATATAAACAAGAGTTACATTCTTATGGCATCTCATCATGTTATAATGAAACGGCATAGAAAGAAATATTAGTTGAGAACTTACTGTACTCTAAGTTTCTTTAAAGTATAGGAGTTGACAGAAATAATAAATGAACATGGTTCAATTTTTTTGGCAGTGAAGAAAACAATATTTTGAATTATCCTTTAGGAATGTTCCAGGTTTGGTCCATTAGAGAAGTTTATATGGTTTCTTATTGCCATGGTGGATGCTGTCCTTTGCTTTGGCTAATTCTCTAGAGTTGTAGCACTTTTTCTTTGCATTCAATAGTGTCTTAAGGAGCTGAGGACATGTTTCTCCAATTGCTTTTGCAATGCCAAGTTTCAGGATTTGCTTTTTTGCCTTTATGTGAAAGAAAAAAAATTTTAGCAGTGTCCACATATCTTTTTAATGCTAATATTCCATCTTTATGATAGGAAAAAAAATTATAGATTTTTTTGAGAATAAAGATTATCTTATTTAAATTTTTCGGTTTGTAACGTTACTTTAGACAGAATTTTTCGGTTTGTAACGTTTGTATCGTTACTTTAGACAGAATTTTAAGATGCAGTGTAATTTTTTTTAGGGAAGCCAGCAGGTGGCAGTATGATGCATAAAATGAAAGTTTCAAATGAGTGTAGAAGGCTCCATTTCACATGAAAATATGTTATTTGCATATTAGAAAATTCAAATCACTTTATAGTTCATCAGAACATTTTTTTTTGTATTCTATCACTGTTGACTGTATTACAATTATTATTTTGTGGGATTAAAAATTACCATGTATTTAATACATTTTTTAAAATTCGAGGTTTTGCTGATTCCAAGAAATGTTGAGGAATCTGGAAGGGAATGCCTCGTGACTCTCTCAGTGGGGGCTTCTATACTAGTAGCAGCTATATATAAAACCGGGAAAGTAAGACTGGGCCTAGGGATTTCTGACCTGCCAGTAATCTTCCAGAGGTAAGGAAATAGGAATAGTAATTAGGTTACCTGTCACGGATACCATCCCAGCTATGCAATAACATGTCTGGTTTTCAAATAATATTAAGATGTCTTGGTTACTGAATTAAATATTACTAAAATACTAAAAAATTTGATTGACAAGTTTGGTATATGTTTAGAAGGAATAATAAGGTATTTCATTGATTCCATTAATATTCAGTTATGGCATTAACCTGTCATTAAGTGTGTTTTTGTATTCCTCCCCTAGGGTTCTCTAAATGCCATGTGGTATGCGGAGGTTGGTTGCTTTTGAGTTTTTAAAAAACTAATAATGCATAGAGTACTTGTGTAATTTCAGTTGAAATAAATAGGCATCAGTATTTTTCTTAGTTGCTACATATTTCTTCCTGCCTGCTGGCCTGAAATAAAATAACTGCATTGTGCATTAGCTTGACTGTTTTAATTTCTGCTTTAAAATGCACAGTTTGATGAATGTATGTGGCTATTTTTGCCTTCATTTCTCCTTAGTCTCTGGCTGTATGTGTGCAATGTCTTTGATAAGCTACTTGGTGATATTTGCAAAGGAGCGTTTACAGTAATACGTGATGTCTTACCTCTCCTTTATAGGTTAAAGAACTCCGAGAGAAGGCTGAGTTTTATAGGAAACGAGTTCAGGGAACACATTTTTCTCGGGACCATCTGAATCAGATTCTGTCTGATAAAAACTTCTGTTGGGATGTCTCCTCCACCACAAGCTCAGAAGGAACCATTAGTAGCAACATTAGAGCATTGGATCTTGCTGGGTAAGATGTTCTTTGTGTATGGTGAAAAGGAATGTTGTAGCTTATGTAGATCATGGAATTATGTAGGAAAATGACATGACACTCAAAATTTGTCTTCTAGTCAAATGGAGATATGCCAGCATTTATTATATTTCATTATTTTTAGTTTATTTTTTGAAAGCTATACATACTTGATTTACACAATTATGTGTAAAATAATACATAATATAATTCTGGAAGACTGGATTTTACAATATCTTTGTTAATTAAAAATAGAAAAGGATGATCATACAGTAGCTGTAAAAGAACTTTAAAAGTAAGCTATTAGTACATATCCATTATCATTCATTCATAATTTTCATGGTTATTGTGGAATTTAGGTCTTGCTTCTGTGGGAGAATTCTCTGCTGTTATGGATTTTAAAGTGAACACCATTTGACTATAAGAGAAATAGCACACTGATTTGTAGCAAATAAAAGTTTTTTGATACAGTATATTAATATAGTCATACATACCAAATTGAACTGTAAATTCTAATTATGTGGCATCTGATTAAGAAGTTCATCACTAAATCAATTTAACAATGTCTGGAAAAGATGATCTAAAGTATAAAATTTGAATCAGCTTACTAGATCCATAAGTACCCTTGAGTTTGTGCACAAACTAATTGAGTAACTGAACAAGTTAAACCTGGGGGCGAGGGTACAAGTTTATGTGCATAAATGCCAGTTTAGGGGATACATATGAATTTTGTCAGTAGTGGAGCAGGCGTGTGTGTGTGTGAAGGTAGTAAGAAGAGATAAATAGATTTTATTTTGGAGTATTTTAATAGAAACTCCAGATCATAACTTTTATTATTCTGTAAATTGAACTTTTAATTAGATTTCTTCATTGTCTGGGCAAGGCAATATCTGTGGAAAACACACAGTTGTAAACAATGGAAGGGAATGATGGACTCATTAAAATTAATATCAACTAGAAACCACAAACTGTTCAAACTTAAAATAAAACTTATTTTGTTATGCAGAGATCCTACAAGCCATAAGACTTTGCAGAAATGTCCTACAAAACTAGAAGAAAAAAGACCAGTCTTGGAAGAACAGCTCCAGAAAAATACCACAGAGAACTTGGGCGTGTCAGATGCTCCCATCATACCTGTTAGGAGGCGTCTGGCTTGGGATGCAGAGAACACCAATGAAGACATACAGAAACCGCCAAAGGAAGAAGAAGAGGAAAGGGAAGAGGAAAGGGAAAAGGACAGACAGGTTTATGTGGGAGAGTTAGAGAAGTTGGAAGTACATGAAAAATCTAAGGCAGACAAGATAAAAGAAGGGTGAGAATTTTGAATTAATCAGTATATAGCAGCATTATTGTACATGGTTAATATGTATTTTGTTTTGTCACTAAGTATAGTGGTTTATGCTTTTGGTTTTATGACTAATAAAGAGATTTTACTTTAATGTTACTAAGTAGGCATTCTGTATGGTTTCTAATTTGATTCAGTCTGGTATTTGAATCATCACTAATTGGTAATTGAATACTTGAACACTCAGCTACTTGGGGAGAAGTAGTCAGTGTTATTTTCATTTATATCTTGCTAATTATAATTTGCTATATTTGTAAATGTGTCTAGAAGACTGACTTTCTTTATGATTTAAGGAAAATGGCTGATATTCTTTAATACCAGTTGGTTATACCAAAGAAGAAAGAAAAGATAATGTTTTCTAATATTAAAATAAGTGATTTTGGCAAATAGCTAATTCCTGTTGTATGCAGATTTCTTTGGGGAATGATTCTCTACATCTACATTGATAATGGTGCTTTTTGTCCATAGTCCAAATCCCTTATCACACGTTCATGAGTTTTGCAGTTATTATGGGACTTAGGCCCTGATTTAATGGACGAATCCTCTGCTCTGTTGTTGCTGACTTGCAGTGACCTTCCCTCTTTTCCAATATTCAGTCACTCTTACGTGTATATGGATTTGTTTATGTTTTCAGAAACAAAATGGCCTTATTTTAAAAGTTTCATACTTTATTATTGCATAAAGGTGGCAAACTGTTTTTGATAATACTTCCTGGAGAAAATGCATCATAATAGATTATTTTAATTTGTAGGTCGGATTCTTCTTCTGTATCCTCAGGAAAAGGAGGCAGGCTTCCCACTCCGAAGCTGAGAGAACGTGGTGGAATCCAAAGGACTCATCATGATCTTACCACTCCAGCTGTTGGTAATAGGCAAACACTGTGCAGTTCTTATTTAACCTGCTGTTTCTACATGAAAGTTTAGTTTAATTGAGACTTACCATCTCGGGCATTTTTCCAGGTGGTGCTGTTTTAGTGTCTCCCTCTAAAGTGAAGCCTCCGGTCCCAGAACAGAGGAAAAGAATGTCCTCTCAGGATGGTTTAGAAACTTCAAAGAGTGATTTTAGAAAGGTAAATATTTATATTTTTGGGAAAAACATTTCTTTAGGAAATGATTATTTTAGTCATATGTAATAAATGAATGATAGGTTCAGAATTTAGAAAATTTTGTGTTTCATGTGTAGAGACAATGCCGTTATCATACTTTCAGTAAGGCAGAAACATTGAATTGTTTTTTTCTGATTGGCTGCCAAATGGTGGGGCAGAATTTGGCTCCAGGCAGTCTATCCTCAGAGCCCACATTTTTAACCCCCGAACAATACTGTCTCTCAAAACTTTAGAGTAGCAGTCTCATGGTATTGTTTTAATTGTCAAGTACCATTTATACATTTTTATAAATGATATTTAAAACCCAGTGTCATTCATTCATTCATTCATTCAGATGTTTTCTATCCATTTACACACATGAGGTAATGATAGTAAAAATAGACATGGTATATGATCTTATGGAACTTATAGAACTTAAATTAAAACTAATAAGAATTTCAAAGATGTGTATAGTACTGTTCTGGAAGGAAGTGACCTTGTCCTGGAAGTCAGGAAGCTTTTCGGAAGTCATAATTTAGTTGAGATAGAGAGGAAGAGAAAGAGTTACTCAGGTAAAAAGGGTGAGGACACATGCGCCAAGATCCTGTGGAGAGGAAGAATGCAAGGTTGTAAGAAACAGACCAGTGTAGTGTGTGGCAGGAAGCAGGTACAAGATGAGGCTGGAAAAGATAGCAATGTTGAGAATTTCTATCATCATCTCAAAAGCAATGGCAACCCATTGAAATATTTTAAGGACCTTCTGACTGCCATGGAAGACAAGAATAGACTATGGATACCTGTAAAAGGCCACTGCAGTAATCTAGGTAGGAGATGTTGATAGCTTGGACTAAGGTGGGTGGGCAGAGATAGAAATGGATGGAATTGAAGAATTGTGTAAGGGAAACAATGTCAAGGCTTGGTGTTCGGTTAGATAAAGGGGACAAGAAACCATGAATGCCTTATAGGTTTCTGGCTTGCCCAAAAGGATTGATAGGGAGTGCTATTCACTGAGTAAGAGAACTCTGGACAGGAGGTGGCTTTGAGAGGAGTATCAGGAGTTCATTTTCATTCACTCAATTTAGCATTTAATGTGCTCTTACTATGTGCCAGGCACTGGTCTAGGATTTGGGGATTCATTGGTAACCAAAACAAAATCCCTGTCTTTGTGGAGCTTATATTTTCATTGAGAGAAATAGACAAATAATTTTTGAGAAAGACAATTTCGGGTAGTAGTAAGTGCTGTGAATTAAAACCACAAATGACTTCCAAGTGGGGATGAGGCTGCTTTACTTTGGGCCATCAGGACAGGCACCTTTGAGGAGGTGACATTTGATCTAAGACCTGACTAATGAGGGAGGTGCCCACACAGAGATCTGGGGCACAGATTGTTTTCCAAGTAGAAAGAACAGCAGCATAAGTGTACAACAGTGAGAGTTCTTAAAGAAAGTGAAAAGGCCGGTGTGACTGGCGGAGCCTGGAGAGGGAAGAACAGAGAGTAGGCAATGAGGTTGGAAAAGGGAGGCTGAGTAAGGATTGGGATGTTATTCTCATGGCACTGGGAAGCCCTTGGAGGATTTGAAGCAACAAAGCAATTATAAATCTCTGATTTACATGGTAAATAAAATCACTCACTGCTCATTGGAGAATGGACTGTACTTGGAGAGAGTGGAAGCAGTGAGGCCAGTAAGGCTTTAAGCTCAAAAATAGATCACAAAATAAGTTAAATTAAACCTGGGAACCCTCTGTGTTAAAAGTTTTCTACAGATTTCATTCAGGTCTTTTTAACAATAGTACAACCAATTCAACAGAGATCTCAAATTCTGTATGTGTATGTAGAAAAAGAAAAAATCAGAACAATTGTCCTAAGTGATACTTAAAAAGGGAAGCAAGAGAAAGATTTGTGGGTTTTATCTTAAATCTTGATTTTAAAATATGGTCGTTGGATAAGACCCGAGACCATCTTCACTTTGAAGCAATAAGCTCTTTAATTGCAGAAAATTATGCCTAAGGTCAGAAAGCAGTGTTTTGAATATTGCATTGATAAATTCAAAGTTAATAACTAAAAGCAACAATTATAAGTAATCAGGAAAGTGTGGGACTATTATTTGATTTTACTGGTTTATAGTCTCAAAAAGTAAGACTATATACAGGGACTTTTAGGGTAGTGATACATTATTATTGTGGAAAATAAAAAATACCACAATAAAAAAGAAAAATGATGTCACACCTACTATCAAGGACTTACACTTGAATTTTTGAATTATTTAGGTATATAGTGTATTCATTTGTTATGCTGTAGATAAGACTTTATAATCTATTTTTCTCACTTAGCAATGTATTGTAAACATTTCTATATTATTAAATATCATTTCTTTCAAATTTTTAATAACAACGTGATACACAATCTATAGTTATACCATTGTTTTTTTTTTAAATGGGGAATAACAGTTGTTTTAATCAGATGCTTATTTTGAAATCTATTTTTCAAAACTACATGCCTATTGCTATTTCTTAATTTTTCTATTTTGAAATTCATTCTTTAGCTACATTTTTGTTCATATTTTTATTATCCCCTCTTGTGTAAATACTCCCCAAGTATTATTGTGATGTCAAAGAACACAAAATTTAAAGGCTTTTGCTCTGTTTTTCCACCTCCTCCCAATGCTCCCAACAACATTGTAGTGCCAATTTTTCTATATCGTTGCCAGCTCTGGGTATTATACTTTTTAAAAAAAGTAATCTTTGTAATTTAGGAAGTGAAAAATTAGTGTCTCATTGCTTTTATTTTGAAATTATTTGATTATAAGTGAGGTAGAATATGTTTGCCACTTGTATTTTGTGTGAATATGAATTGCTTATACATATCATTTTTCTTTTTAATTAGATTTGTCTTTTATTATGTTAAAGAAATACTTATGTAGCAGTGATAATTCATCATAAGTCATACAAATTATATGTTTTTCTCATTTGATTTTTTTTAATGATTATATATGTATTTTATATAGCTAAATATGTTTATATTGGTTGTTAGGCTTATAAAATCTCCATATAGAAATTATATAAAGTTTCCCCATACTTTCTCCTACTGCTTTTATGATACTTTTTTGTGTTTAAATCTTTGGTTTATTTGTATATGTACACATGCATATGTATCTTTTTTTTTTTTCTTTCATTTAGAAAGAAAGTCGTGCTGTAGCTCTCCTGACTTCTCCAGCTGCTGGTATAAAAACAATTGATCCCCTACCTTTGAGGGAAGATTCTGAAACCAATAACCCCAAATTTGCTGAGGCAACTCTTCCAGTTTCAAAAATTCCAGAATATTCAACAAACACTCCTGTACAGTCTCCTTCTCCACCCTGTCCTTCTTCCTACTGGCATCCCTCTCGCCGAATTCAGGGCTCTCTGAGAGATCCAGAATTTCAGCATAATGGTAATTATTGTGGTTTTAATTTTTTGTCTTTTAAAATGACAATCTTATACTGAGAGGTACAAAGGCTATAAGTATGTACTATATGTTAATAAATGATGTTATTTAGTTTTTTAGTTAATGTAATCTCTTTAAATAGGAGAAAATCTCATCTTTGGAACAGTTAGTTGTGCTATACCCAAGTTCACTTTTGTATAAATGAGATGTCTCTCAAATTCTTTCCCATAAACCTATAGGCAATGTGCTAGATGCCAGTAGCACCCCTTTTTGAAGACAACCAAAAATGTCTTCAGACATTGCCAAATGTTGCCTGGATGTATAATTCAAGGTTATACATAAATTATTTTCCTTTAGTTTTATTAAGCATTACTCTGCTCTTTTCTAGCTTTCACTTTTAATGTTAAGGAGTCTGATGCTCTTTTTATTTTTGATCTTTTGTATGTTGCCTTTTTTTTTTTTCCTGGAAGCTTTTGAGATCTTTTCTTTATACCTAATGCTCTAAAATTTTACAATAACTCTCTTTTTAATCATTTTGCTAGTACTCAGTAGACCTTTTCAGTCCGGAAACTTGGTTCTCACTTCTGGGAAATTTTCTTGAATTATTTTGTCAGTAATTTCTTCTTCTCCACTTTGTTTCCTTCTTTTCTGGCACTCCCATTCTTCAGATGTTGGACATGTTGACCGTGATTTTATTTTCTTATCTTACCTCTCCTATTTGCCATCTCTGTTTATTTTAATTTGAAAGGGTTACTAAATTTTATCTTTTACCTTTTCTTTTTAGTTTAAAAAAATAATTTTGCTATATTTTTAATTTCTAAGAATTTTTTTAACACTGCATATTCCTTTTATACAACATCCTGTTTTTTCCCCCCTTCTTTCAAAAAGTAGTATTATCTCTATTTAAAAAAAAAAAAAATTTTATTATGGTGACGTTGGTTAACGAAATCCAGTAAGTTTCAGGTGTACAATTTAGCAGTAAGGCATATTTATCTATATTGCATTGTATGGCATCCTGTTTTTATTTCATGAATGGCATGTTTTATCTCTTTCGAACATAAATGATATATATAATATCCCTGTTTTGAATCTGGTACCTTTGTCCTCAGTTGAACCTGGTGTCCTTTAGTCAGAGTAGCTTTGATAAACCTTTAGAGACAAAACTTCCATTCCTGTTGTGAAAGAGGGGCAGTTACCCACCAGTGCAAATTTAAAGAAGGATCTGGCAGTCTGTTTGTAAAAAGACTTTAAACCACTTTCCTGATCCTGTCTTACATTCACTCCAACTTTCAGTACTACTCAGTACTCCCAAACGCTGAGCCATTAGGGGAACAAAGTGGCTGCTTCTTGGTATCCCTCCCCTGCTTGAGGATTCACCCTGCTTCCATATGATAATAACACACTCACTACCCTTTCATTTGATTTCCATTTTCCAAAATTTTGTTGCTGTGTTCCTGTCTCCCATTTTCTTTCCTATGGGTTTTTGTCATTTTTATAAATGTATGCATTCTATCTACCATCTTTAAACGGAAACCTACTACATTCTTTTAAGGTTAGAATAGATCAACATTATCATTGAGAAGAAGGTTACCCATTGTTTTTTTACGTATTTGTTAATAATAAGCACATTATAAATTAATGAATGGCCCTTTAATAGTAATTATTAAATATTTAAAATTAATAGGATTTTTGACAGCCTTCTTTTACTAAGGGTTTACTATAAATGGATATACTTTTGAGTACCTTTGAAAGATAATTTCTGTCTTTTTTAAAAAATTAATTAATTTTTTTGTGGTGCATTGGTTAACGAAATCTGGTAAGTTTCAGCTGTACATTTTAAGTCAAGCATATATATATTTATATTGTGTGTTCACCTCCTATCTGCCTTTCTTTTAAGTGGGAAAAGCAAAGAAGAACAATTTCCAGTTACCTCAGCATGAAGCCTTTAATGACGAAGGTATTTCCATAGTGAAATAACATAAAAGTATGAAGTTTTATTATATGGTAGTTTATAATAGTATAATGATCTTATAATTGATTAGCACTATATACTTTACAAAGTACTTCCACAGATGTTATTTCATTGGGTCTTTGAAATCTTTTGAGGGGGGTGAAATTATCCCCATTTTATAAGTGAATAAACTAGAACCTAAAGCCTTGGAAAATCTTTTCTAGGGCAAACAGATGATAAGAGATTGTGCCTCACATCACACTAAGTTTAATACTCTTTCTTTTTTACCCCCTGTCCAGGTGTGGGTTCAGGAATTTGGCCTAGCATTATATCAGTCATTTGTTCTAAATGCCTATACTTGCCAATTTTCAACTCAAAAAAATATATGATTATGGAAAATGAACTTTTTTTCTCCTGTTTCCATTCTGACAATCCATTTGCTTCAAATAGTGGCATGAAGAATTTTGAATCTTGATGTGAACAATGAAATTACGATTTTAATTCCTCCTTAGAAATATGACATTACTGAAGTAAAAATTTTGAATTTGAAAGTAAATTTGAATTAATATCTATGTATTTTAAGTTCATGCACATTAAAGGTTTTTTTCTCTTAGCAAGTTTGAGACTTTTTTCAGAATTTAGTGAGCTAGGAAAGTTTTTGTTTTAAAATGCAAATATTTTGACAATTTGAATCCAGTTCTGTTTTCTTTTTAATGGAAGAACAGTGTTTACAAGTGATCTTATAATAGATTTGTGTACTCAGAACAAGGAATTTCAGCAATAAAGGGCAGCATATTAAAATTGAATATTATTTCTACATATTAAGTGAGATTATTTTAGAAATGTGATGTAAATACCATGTTAAGTTATGGCATTTTATTTTTACAAAGTTTTAAAAAGCTTTTTGCTCAGAACAGCTGTGCTTTTTAAAGTAGGACAAGACAGTATGATGATGAAGTATTTCCAAGTAATACTGAACTCATGAGCTGTGTGTTGAGGTAATGGCATTGTGGGATTTCAAGAAGGAAACAGAATGCTTATTTAACATTAAAATGTTTGATTTCTGAATATTGTAAACTTGGAAAATTACTGTGAGCTATCCTGAAAAATTAATATCTTATATTTCAATAGATTACTTTTTTCTGTCAGAGTCAACATTGACATTACAAAGCTTGATGCTTTTTCTTTTGTTAATGGTATAAAACAATATTTTTAGAAGAGATATTTTTCATACTGACTATAATTCTTTCATTGCAGATGAGGACAGATTATCTGAGATTTCTGCTCGCTCTGCAGCTTCTAGTCTCCGAGCTTTTCAAACTCTGGCACGAGCTCAGAAAAGGAAGGAGAATTTCTGGGGCAAAACATAATTAAAGATAAACCTAGTTGAGTTGCTTTTATCTAGGGAACCTTTGGCACAGTTTTTCTTTATTGCTTTACTCTGTTAAGACTTTTCAAGTTTTGGATTTTTTTCTAACGTTTCTTATTAAAAAGAATTATTTGATTTTCAATAGCTAATTTAGTTTACTTGGAAAATTTTAACACAGGTTCATACAAATTTAACTTTTAAATAATTCTTTTTACATTCATCCCAAAGTAGAAAGACTTAGACTATGTAGTTCTTCACATGTTCTACCTTTGTATTAGGTGTCAGGGATAGCTGGTAGAATTGCGAATTTCACCTGTCCAGAGAATATTCTAAAAAGTGAGGAAAGTGAAGTAAACATTAAGATCCAAGTGAGAAGTATATATTTCCCTAAAATTGGTTCTATGTAGCTTTATAATTGTAGATATCATAAAATGAACTTTTTGTTCCTTTAACTTTTTCTTTAGTGTTTTTTTTAGTACCTTCTGTATGTGATTACAGTGTTAAGATAATTTTATTTTAGATCGAAAATGCCAGCTGTATATATTTTTATTATTTATGTGACAAAGTTTGCTGAGAGAATATGTATTTTTTGATCTTTGTGTGTATTCTATTTGTATAAGGACTGGCTTATATTTGAATAATGTCGAAATTTCAAAAAATTATTTGTATAATGGAGAACTAAAACTTTGTAGTTTTATTTTATTTCAAAATAAAAATTGATCAAGTGTTTAAATTCTGTTTATTTCAAGGTTTTGACTTCTCCAGAATGTTATTACATGGAACAAATACTTATCTTTTAGAAGCATTCTACTCATAACAAGTTAGTGAAATGTTATACTTCCTTTGCAGCAATCCAAATGCAATGAAACTAAGTTTACAATATTTTGCACAAATGTAGGATTTTTTACAAGAATTTGCAAGGCAGAGTCATTTTTTAAAAATTTATTTTTATTTTATTTTTAAAAAATTTAACACAAACTTAACTATGCTTCTATACTCATAGGCTATATTCTATTGTCTTGCAAATCATGATTAATTTTTTAAAAAATGGATTTCACGAAACTACATACAATTTTTATAATACGTAGAAGGTACTATAAATATATACAGAATATTCATGCTTATTGGTCAGAAAACAAATGGAAAATCTGTTCTAAAGTGCTTAATGAAGTCAAAAGTGCTTGTACAGATCTGATTCACAATATTAGTTTGTTAACGTTATGAGGTTATAAAGAACTGTGGGCATACAAGTATTTGCTTACATCCCACTGACATTTTAAAATTGTTGATAAAGATGTCACTGAAGATAGAAATAAGAGTTAGAAATTACTGTATAATTCGATTTTAGAACATAAATTGCCTTGGCTTCTGTACAAATATGAACTGAGGCATATTAGTTGTGAAATAAATTTGAAACTGAAAGTTGATTAGTTGGTTAGGACAATTTTCGATGGCTGACCAATAATCTTCAATATAGAAGGGAATTATAGGTAGCTTGTAGGAAACTGTATAACTCACAGTCTGTCGTACCTAAGCTATAGATTGTAAAGTCTGAGTTCACCCATTGGAATACTTCACTTCACATGAATTGACCTATCGGGCATAAGATGGATTAGGGTATGGTTCTCATGAGGTCAGAGTCATTAACTTAATATCTGACAGTCTATCCTTGTAGTATACTACTGACTTCTCTTGAAAGCCCTACTTAGTGGCCCAGGGAAGAGAATAGTGTTGAGGGATCAGTATTGTTTCATCACTCATACTAAGAGCAACTTAAAGGATATGCACTTGAATTAGTGGATAAGTAGTTTACTTGAGAAACATTCCATGAGATTTGTTAGCATTTAGGAGTTGGGATTGTTAATTCAATGTTTTAATCAATTTTATCAAGGTATGCTTTCATGTACAATAAACTGCAATCGTTAAAATTATAGCTCAATGAGTTTGGAAAGAACGATTACATCTGTAAAACCAACACCACGACCAAAATACGTTGTATTCCCATTATCATAAAAGTTTCATATCCTCCTGTAGTGCATTCCAACCCTCCATAGAGTATACACCCAAATCAATATTATAAACTGGTGGTTTGGTCTTTTTTGTTGAAATTGGTATATCCACAAGCTGGACTGAGGATAGAATACCAGAATCACAATGGAAGTTTTTATCCAAAATGTACACACCTACTGCCTCTGTTCATCCTTCTCCCTCATCTTCACCCTAGATGCTGAGATTTCCTTGTGTCTCTGGTTGAGAACCCAGATAAAAATGCACAAATACATGTTTGGAGGCTTTGTGTGTTCATTTCTGCTCTCATTGCTGGATTACGTAGGAATCTGAATTCTTAAGAAGCCTCGAAGGGTGATTTTGAGAAAGATAAAGAACACGATAAATTGCTTTGTATATGGTAGGAAATGTTATGAAATTTAAGCACAACTATCCTCATTTTGCAGATGGGAAACTACTCTTAAATGACTGGACCAAGGTCTCATAACTGGTAAATTAAATCTAGGTCTTCTTACTTGAAATCTACCCACACTACCTTACTCTGGCATGCTAAAATTGTGTCTTACTGTGATTCAGTTCTCTGGTTGATTCATTTGGTAGTTAAATTTTTAACTTTGTTTTCTTAGAAGATAAACGAAACACCTACCTTTCTAGTCAGGAAAAAGTATACAAATAGGTTCAACTAGAAGGAAAGTGAGTTATTCAAAACAAGTTAGCCCTTATATAGAGCAGTATTGTGGTTGTCTCTCCAGGAAGCTCAAGGATGGATTTTGTACCTTTGTTGTAGACACCCAGAAAATATCCTGACTTCTGGAAGTTTACCATAAGAACAAATAATCTAAAATGTAGGCGATCCTGGAATCATTTATGTTGGTTTTGAAATATGTTTTTGGTACTTTTACATGTGGTGGCATTAGGCATGTTAGCACGCTCAGGGCTAGGCTTTGTCAAACTGCCATCATCACTCAGTTTCCCTAGATGAGTTGGCTGCACAAAGGCTACTCCAGGAAAAAGAGTGGTCTCTGTCATTGGACTAGCTATGGTTTTGCCCCACTGGGCTTGGTGATGTGGGAGCTCTGAAAAGCCAGTCTGTCTCTCTAGCTTAACTCGTGGTCGAAAAGCAGGGCAGTCGTACCTTCAGCCCTTTGTTGTTCAACTTCACGCTAATGTTGACCCACACTCTGCTTTTGACTGCATGTGTCTTTCTCCTATCGTGAGTGGAAAGACAGAAAGACTCAGCCCTTTTACTCTCTCAGTTTAAGAGCCAAGCTTCCTTAAACCTTACTTCATATTTCATTCCCCCTCTAGTCCTGCCAGGCCTGTCAAGGATAGCATCCTCTCTCAAGCAGAAGGCAGCTTTCTCATAGTACTACCCCTGCTGTAAGGCAGGTAAGAGGGAAAGTCCAATCATTTTAAAGATGACATCCACTTCTCTTCCACTAAATGCTTCATCTGCTAGTCCCATCCATGCCTTCATTGAGCCCCAGACCTCTATCCGAGTATGTCCTTGGAAATTGAGTGAGAGATAAAGACTGGGGGTCACTCAAGTACCTTTTGGAAGTCAGAGCATGAGGCCAACAGAGTGAAGTTGGGGAGTTCACAACCAATTTGAACCACCTAAAGGACAATGTAGATGTTGGGAAATAGTTCAATTTCTCCCCAATATATTCTACATCCAGTAGTATGCTGGAGCTGGTTTTCGGGCCAATTGTTAAATATTCAGAAATTTTGTGAGCAAGTTATTAATCTATCAGTAGTTTGAAATTGGCCATGTGGGAGTATTTATACGATGAAAATCAGCAAATGCTATTATAAATCAGTACTTCCTCTCCAATTACCTCCCCAGGGCAGTTTACAAGCCCACCACTGCAGTCATTACACTTGTCTTTGCTTTTCTTTCCATGTCATTTTCTGATAAGATCCATTTCAGAAAAAAAAAGGCAGCTCAAGATAAGCTACTATAAATTTATTGTATCATTCACATCTTCCTTGGCTTATAAAAATACAGTACTTTGGGTTTAGTTTCTTTTCTTGGCTAAAATTCACCTAGAAAATAGAAACAAGCCACAAATAGCATATAATAGACTGTAGAGGGAGACTACCCATAACCCACCCATGAAACTAGCCAGAGATGGGGCCTGAAAAATCTATGTGGAATTCCATGTGATCCTGATATCGTGTAGTCTGGCTTTGGATTATAATAATCTTGAGCAAACTGGTTAAGCTTCTTTGAGCTTGTGTTCCTTATCTATGAAATTTAAGATTCATAAGGTGTTTCATATATTCAAAAGTATTTAATTCAAAATGTTAGTTCTATTATGTTGAAGGCGAATTTTCATTAAAACAATGGGAGAAAAGCATTTTTTAGAGAAACGAAGATTAAATCTGGAAAGCAGGAGGCAGTGTATCCTGAAATCATGGCATCTTGCATCATAGCCCTATATGTGATGACCTACATTCAGCTTACACAGAGGCAGTTTAGGGCAGGGGTGCTGAAATGATTTGTCTACTTCCGTTATGCGGTAAAGCAAAAAAGTCTGTGACTACAGTGTTGTGACTCAGCGACTCTAAAAGGTGGAATCAATTACCTGATATATGCAAGCTATATTAGTGTAACCATGAATTGGAGATGTTATCAGGTATGAGTCAGGCAATGTGGAGATAAAGGACCCACCATAATTACTGATAAAAGGAATGATAGTAAGATTGGTCCCTGAATGAATATACAGCCAATAACAAAGAATACCTATTTTGCTTCAAGTTACTTTTTTAAAAAGATGAATTAAGTAAAACTCAAAGTTTTGTAATTTGAAGAAGAAAATGTAAACTAAACATAAAATGCCACACATTATGCAAAAGTATAGAAGCTTTACACTTATAAATTCAATTATAGTCAGAGTTTGGGTATGTCACTCAGGAAAATTTTGCCCACAGGAAGTACCTTAGCATTTGATGTTCCCGTTAACAATTATTCAAGTAAAACCGTAAAGGTTCTGGAGAAACCAAAGAAAATTGAAAATAGGTTTGTATGACAATACACTTTTGTTTCAGAAAGAACCAGTAATGTTATAAACTTTAGCTTGTAATTTTACAAAGATGAAACATCTGAAGTGCTTTACTAATTAGAGATTTTAACCTGGCATAAACGATCACCCTAGCCTGATCACTTAAATTAATTACTGTTAATTTTAGCTGAAAAGACTTTAAAAACATCACAGATTCATGATCTAAGAACATGTCAGTTTCTTTCATCATTTAGAATCAAAATGTAGGGACCAAGAAAAAATTTTCTTTCAGATTTGTGTTTATAATTTAAAGAAATATAAAAACACAGGACAGTAGAGACTAATATATCAATATGTACAGTTTTCTTTAGTCACTACTTAAATAATATAATAAAAATAAAACTTAGAAGTTGAATACTTTTGATTAGAGAAGCTTCTAGAAAAAACATCTGATAACCCTCATTTTACAAATTTAATGATTATGTTCATTCATTCATTCATTAAAATTGCACGCAAAAAATTGCAGATATTTTCTGCTATGCACAACACATTAATCTTAGTTCTTTTCAGGTCCACTTAATCTTAAACAAGTCAGTCGCAAGTTACAAAATAATTTATTAGACATTTAGCTATTGTTTTTTGTTAATTCCATATAAGGAGAAAGGTTATTTTCCACTCATTCTTCAATGATTTTCAAA